ATTCGTGCTGATGCAACCTTTGAGTTGACCTTTTTTGCACCTTGTACCAACCCTTTCTAGTACAGCTACTTCGTCTACTGGTAGGTGTTTTGAAAACCAATTCCTTATTTCTAACTCATGTATTCCTCTCAGCGCCTCCCTTTCCTCGGCTTCATTCTCCACTACCTGACAACCATCATTCCGCATCGGAACCCTCGGCACGTTTATGTCCTGGAAAGTCTATCTCGCGCGTAGATGTGTGACGATTTCGACAAATCTGCTTCCCCTGAGGCACGCGACATGACTTTGCTTCTATCGCCGACGTAGAGCATATGGCTCGCTGGACTCTTTCTCGACCAGACCACGACGATGTCCCTGGTCGTGCTCGTATCTCTGTTATCGCTGGTGTCGGCGCAGACATGGTAAGCGCGAATTTCTCCACAGCACCTATCGAATTTGACACGGCTATAGGTGCAACAAGAATTACATGAGTACCGAGCCGATCGTGTTTCCGGGTCAGTCCATCGTGATGAAGTAGCGGCAGGCGTTGACCTTGTACTGCAGGCGGTGAATTTCCAGTTCCTGAAAGGTCCGCCACACCACTGCTTGCTCTGCGATGTGGACAAGCTATTCGGCCGTACCTATCGGAAGACCGCCACGGCATCGTTGACGACCCAACAGCCGTATCCATTCTAGTCGATACACCCATTACATACTCGCTTATTACTGGCGCGTCACCTTTCACTGGCACTCTCGACACTACTTTGAAGGTGACTGTGTCTGCTCAAGGGAAGACTCTGGCCAGCGGAAGGGTGCCCATCAATGCATCGAAACACGCTCTTTCATTATCCTTGTCTTCCTTGACACCAAGAACCGAGGCGTATAACATATCCTGTGTAGGGGAGATGGAGTCCGGGGAGCGATTCGCAACGACGTCGTTACTGAGCTATCTTCCTGCACCTCCCCGTGATATTGGTTCTGTTACCAAAATGGATATGCGCACCGGAGGTCTACTTGCCCGACCAGCGCACAAAGATGGGGCGTACGAAAGAGTATTTCCTATTGGTTTCTACACCCAATTCGACTCATACCTTGCTGTCAATTTGTCCGCCATTGGAATACTGAAAGAGCAAGGGTTGGTATCCATTTCCATATGTATTACCTATCCTGACATTTTGACAGCTTCAATATTGTATGGATTTGATTCTTCTGATGCAACCGCGGCGAGTAACCGACGCCATAGATTCATCCAGTGCCTACGTTTTCAAATCTGACGGCACTCGATGAGGTATTGGATGAAATGGAGCGAGTAGGCCTGTACCTCATGTACGACATGAGAGCGTAAGAATATCTCCGTAATTTCTCCTCGAGTCCTCTCACCGTCGTTTAGGACCTACATGAACAGTACATCCGTGACCGAGCAAGTCAATCGCATTAAATCACGCTCAAATGTTCTTTTATGGTACACCGCCGACGAACCAGACGGTACCTCCGACCCGCTCAACGCCACCCTTCTATCTTCGAACCTCATCACCTCACTTGACGGCGGAGATGGACGAGGCGGGTCAGGCTACCACCCTGTATCCCTCGTACTAAACTGCGAGAACTATGAGTTCACAGCCTACGCAAGCGGGGCGGATATCGTCATGCAGGATACGTACATGGTCGGGAACAATGTTACATTCTCAAGCGAGTGGGGAACACCGTGCACAACTGATTATGGGGATTGTGGGTGTGATAATTGTAAAGGCTCCTTTCAGGATATATCGACTAGGGAAGACGAGTTTCGGGAGAGGATATTTATCAACGGCTGGGAGTTAAATAAGGTGGTCTGGGCAGTCCCGCAGGCGTTTGGGAACGGATCGTATGTATACTTTAGGCCATCCGTCTGACGAGAACTCAGACTGTTACAGGTACTGGAAGAGATTCCCTACTGGGAAAGAGTTCATTGTTCAGAGTATCGTCGGGATCAACCATGGAGCTCTGGGTAATCATCCTTTCCTTACCGTCGTATATAAACCAATTAATCTGGTATTCTTAACAGGTGTTGTATCATGGGATGACCCTACATCAGCTGATATCAAAGCTTCCGCCTCTGCTCTAGCACTTTCGCTTCCGAAAATCACACCATTTATTCTAAATCCCAAAGCAAAGTTCCAACAAGTGACGACTTCTGACTTCATTGATGTAGGTTTGTGGACGGTTGGCAAGGAGACATTAGTTTTGGCGACGAATTTGGACTACGAAGAAAAGGTCCTTTTCTTGGCGCAGGTCGGTATAGCTGAAGAAGTGGCGGAGCAGGTGTTCGATAGTGGTGCGCAGGTCTATGTTGGTGGGTTTAGCGTTACTTTAGAACCCGTGGGCTCCGCTGGCTTTATTGTACCAAATAAATAGGGTAAATAGCAGTAAGTATTAGGCTTCGGAGATAGCCGAACTATTCCTCACCTCCTATAAGTTACGTCCTGGGCGCTCGTACTCAAGAATATTGAACTTGGATATATCAAGGTAAGTTGTACACATCGTGTAGAAGGAGCAAAACTGAATGGGGTCACATGTCGTCGCGTTTCAGGTCAGGCTGGCCCCGCATTTCACAACTCAGCGGTAACGTGCCACTGAGCGCCGTAGGGCGGTGCATCAACTATCCATCACACACTCTCTTTGGTCATGAACAGCAATGAGGGATACATACTATCACCGAAAACACAGAAGGAATCTCTTTGAGACCCTCCTTCACCACCATCCTATCCTCATCGCATGCGCAGCATTCTCTATCTCTACCGCTATCTTCTTCGCTTACCATTTGGGGTACTTCTCAACGTTCCTCGTATATCTTCCATTTGCGACGGTATGTGTACCGGCATTAGCAATATTTGACGCCGCACATATCTCTAACTGGTCTCGGTGGACCGCGCGGAGAAGAACACGATTCCGACTGTGCTTTGCATGGTGTCTCTTCCTTCTCCTCGCGCCGACGTACCCTTCTTCCTCTTACCTCCGCAATGATGCCTCCATATCCCCCCTTCCATCGAACGGCACGTATTATATCGCGGCCAACCTGTATAATTCAGCAAAGGTCTTACCCGCGTGGACGAAGGAAATGAAGCTCCTCATCGACCACATCGGCCGACAAAACGTCTTCGTATCTATCTACGAGTCAAATTCAGACGACGGGACGCAGGAGGGCCTGCGTATGTTCCAGAAGGAACTCGATGAGCGGGGCGTCGGGAACCACATAGTGGTGCAGGAGGGAATAAGGGACAGGTGGGGGCTGAACAGTCCCGAGCGGATCTCCTACATGGCGGATATTAGGAACAAGGTCCTGGAGCCCTTACGCGTCATGGGTGATAAAGATGGGAAGACCTTTGCAAAAGTCTTGTTTTTCAACGATATTTATTTTGACTGGAGTCCGTCTTTTTATTTAATGTCTCTCGTCGTGCTCCTGACTTTGTCTTTGCAATAGGAGCTATTGTACGATTAATTCATACCAAGAACGGGGATTACGACCTTGCTTGTGCTCTTGACTTTGATGGAGTGGGATTATATGATATGTATGTCTTTCTCTGCCGCCCGATACTTTTCCCCTTAAACTTCCATCAGCTGGGTAGTGCGTGACGCTTGTGGAAGGACAGCGAAAGAAATCTGGCCGTATTTTTCCTCAGACTCTCGTGCTGTGAAAAGCCTCCGGAAAGGTGAACCCATTGAGGTTGCCAGTTGTTGGAATGGAGTGGCCGTTTTCGACGCGATGTGGTTCCTCGCAGGGTCCTTGCCCAGTAAGCTCGTAACGCCGTCGTTTTATCATTTCTCATCATTTTGTCAGAGTTAGACCGGAGCAAGCCTACGCCTGCCGGAGACTATCTACCCCCGCTGCCGCTGTGGTTTAGAGGTAGCACTGAATGCACATCGTCGGAGTGTTACCTCATAGCCATTGACATGCATTTCTGGAACACTCCCCACCGCCCGAAAGTATACGTTAATCCTCAGGTCAACGTCGGTAAGTCCTAAAGGAAAGTTTTTTTTGTGATTACGCTGACACTAGCTTTTAGCTTATGATTCATTAAATTTTCTCTTTCACACAAAACTAGAACACTTGACGCTGTCAAAACCGTGGCGCCTTGTATGGCAGGATTGGATTGGGCATAGAATGTTCGGCTGGCTGAGCGACTGGATTTGGCTCAAAGAGGATAGATGTTCTGGCCAACATGGCTCAGAAGTCTTTGTGGAGGCAGATTATTGTAGGTAATTTTGCTGTGGCTGATTATACCGTTTGGAGGTTAGGTTATTTTAACTGCCCTACATCAAGGCTGGCGCTGACCGGACCTTTGACGAAACTACTGACACACGTTATTAGTCTTGAAATAATTCGAGCTAGGGCAATATATTAGGATTTCCATACTACGCCTACGTACTATTAAACCCGACTCCACAGTTCGTGTGTGTCGATCACAAAGCGGGTGGCAAGTATACTCATCTACAACCCTTCACCAAGCTGCAATTGTTCAAATCACCATTTTTATGGTCGAAATGCTCAGTATCAATAGTAGAGTTAAACTCACAATTTCCAGGCGGAGGCGGTTCCGACTATCACTAGCAATGGAGGCCGCGTGGTGGGTTAGGAGTCTTAGGACCAATCCTAGCTTCTAATATGTAACACTTGCTTCCTTGCAGGATCATGGGAGCTGCCTGGCCACCACTCCTTGCTTCCAACAATTTCGGCACATTGCAAGAAATCTGACGGAAATGTATCGCAAAGCTGAAAAGTTTGCTTAGACACATTTCCGTCTGTCGAAAATCAGATTTTGGCGGGGAGAATTTGTTTTCTGACTAGATGGAAACAGATGGAAACTGGATAAGGAAAAGTTTTCAGTCACATTTTGCGTTTCCTCCGGGCAGAAGCTCAGGCATGAAGTGCACCTAGTGTGTAGATCAAGCAGCTGACATTATTTCAGTGCGGGGCAACAGATATTTACTGTAACTTACAACAGATTGTGGAAGTGAAAAAAGAACGTCACAGCGTACTCTCATGGACACATTGGGAATTGAACCCAACACCTCCCGCAATTATACGAAATGCTAAGCGGGCGTGATAAACCAACTACACCATGTGCCCAGCGGACATCCGTACGCCATATTATTTCAAGTAATGACATAGATCTCTACGGTTGAGAAAAGATGATTGAATATGCAGTTCCAATAAGCCCATTATATCGACATGGCATGCATCCCGTCAGTCATATTTTAACATAAAATCTCGGCATCGTGACCGTATGCCCCAGAGCCCGCTTCGGAATTTATATCCATGTCCTGAACCATATTCCTGAGCAACGGATGGGTCGTACTTTACAGCCATCTCGAGATAGCCTTCAAAGACCTCACAAAGTTCGATTCCAAGTCCATTATTCTCTCCGCCGTTGTGCACCTCAGTCCACACAGGTGAGCAGTTCATTTTGAAGACACCTCTAGACGCGGACACGATTCCAGTCATGGGGGTGAACGTATTCCCCACCACTGATTCGACGGTTTCCCCATCCCGATGCTGGGGGAAGTTGGCTATATCGCATTCGAACGCGTCGGTAAGTGCGAGGGAACTGATAGCTAGTTCATCAATTTCTTGGGACATTATACCGAAACACCACATGCGACCTTTCTCCTCGCCACTCTCAACGTTCGGGAGGTCCGGTATGAAACACCGAATTCCACCGTCCATGATACCCTGAATCTGCCACCTAGAGAGAACGTTGAAAATCGATTCGTAATCGGGTAGGACGCTGTTCCCAGCGGCGCGTCCCAACGATTTGTGGGTGATTGGCCAAAAGTCAAAACTGCCGAGTTTATAGGGTGACTCAGAGGGAATGATTTGGAGTGGCGTGGACGGGTTCAAGGCGATAGTGGGCCGGCGCGCGTTAGCGTTTGCACGGGGACGGTTCCTCGGTCGTGCTTTGGGAGAACCTAGGCTTCTCAGGCGTGAGGGCTTGCCGATGGAAGGTAATGTTGCCTACATGGTTTTAGCGAACGAGTAGCAGATTGCAGCCGGATACTTACTATGGTTCTCAAGCGCTTTGAGCATTGGCCTTTATCCTCCTCGCCTGCGTCGTCGGAGGGCGCGCTGCGTTTCTTACCTTTATCTGGCATCTGGAATCACTTCAGTATTGGTGCGGTTGTCTCATGGACTTTCTCACCTTTGCCCAGATTGTTGTTGAAGGTTGGTGTGAGAGTAGTTGGGGGTGGCGTTGGTTCATCAAGTAATGTTGCAGTGAATGACAAAGACTGGTGCCACTTGAATGTTAGTGGCCTTGTACCTGTCTTCGTCTGGTCGTGCCTCTACTGCCAAATTCTCTTAACTTCATATCGGCTCGCTCCAAAACACAAGCTGATATGATGCCTCACTGCAATAGCACGTGCGGGAATACGGCCTGCAACAAGCCTGAAAATAATCTAGTTGAGAGAAGACAGAGAAATGTCGAGCACAACAACTGCCTTGGGCCTCGGAATCAGTCGACTACTGGTCAAATTTCTCTGCTGTAACGCGAATCGAAAAAGCAAATAAATCACCACCGTTACAAGTTACGAAGTCCAATGATGATTGCATCGCAAATTCCTGTCGATATAAAGAATGTTTAAAATCCCCCCCCTGCTCCGATTACTCGAGTTCTTACCAAGTTCTTACCTCTACGCGTGGGATACCGAACTGCATTTTTCAATACCGTACTGAGACTTCCGGCTTCGGCTACCTCCGCGTTCTTCGGAACAAGACAGGAGCAACAAGAAATTTTTTGCGAGTGCAGGGGGCAGCGCGACGGGCGGAGCATAATCGAAGATCAACTGGCCATGATTGGTCAGCGCTCCCCCCGCTCCTCTGTTTTCCACCGTCATCATCGACAGAAATTCGTAAATTTTACTCAACCAACAGACCGAAAGAAATATGTCTCCAACCGCTATTACCAGTACCAATGGCCATTCCAACGGTGTCAAGCACGGCACCAACAGTGTCGAGAAGGTTTCCGGCAACAATCGTGGCATCCATTTGACATCGACGGACGTTATACAGATGGAGAGCAAGTACGGGGCGCACAAGTGAGTATTCCTTTGTTATCCTTGTTTCTTGCTGGACGTGAGGAGAGCCATGATCGTCTGCAGGGAAGGACGCCACAGGGCCCTGAATCATCGCCGCCCTTTATAACATTTCGTCGTTCGTATCTGTTCCATTTATACAACATCTACTGACCTGCGGCTTTTTTGCCATCATCAGCTACCATCCGTTACCGGTTGTCTTTGATTCCGCAAAAGGCGCCAAGTGAGTTCTTTTTGCTGCCGAAATCTGCTTGATCTGATTGGATCGTGATAGAGTATGGGATCCAGAAGGCAGAGAGTACATCGACATGCTTTCTGCCTATTCGTCAGTATTTTTCGATGCAATTGCTTCGATTTTTCTCACATGTGGTAACAGAGCCGTAAACCAGGGACACTGCCACCCAAAGATTGTGGCAACCCTCGTCGAACAGGCCCAGAAACTTACCCTTTCATCTCGGGCCTTCTACAATAGCGTCTTTGGCCGCTTCGCTCAGCAGATCACGGAGATGTTCAGCTATGATATGGTTCTTCCCATGAACACTGGCGCAGAGGCTGTCGAAACGTCGCTGAAGCTCGCACGTAAGTGGGCCTACGTGAAGAAGGGTGTTCCCGAAGGTCAGGCTGTCATTCTGAGCGTGGAAGGTAACTTTCACGGACGGACGCTGGGTGTCATCAGGTGCGTTTCCTCCGCCTCACGGAGAATCCCCGCTGAGTTATTTACATGAAAGATAGTATGAGCACCGATCCGGACAGCCGCACTGGTTTCGGACCTTATCTCGAGGGTGTCGGGCCGACGTATCTGGACGGCTCCCAACTGAACACCATCAGATATGGCGTGGTGGAAGATTTGGAGCGAGCGCTTGAGCTGCATGGCAAGAATGTTGCAGCATTCCTTGTAGAGCCGATACAGGGTGAAGCTGGGTGCGTGGTCTTAGCTAAACCTTACTTCTATTTGACCGACACGACCGTGGTAGAATTGTTGTTCCCGAAGAGGGATATCTCTCACGCGTGCATGCTCTATGCAAGAAGTACAATGTGCTGCTTATCTGTGATGAGATTCAGACAGGATTATGTCGAACGGGTAAGATGCTGGATTGTCAGTATGACAACATCCGACCAGACATGGTCCTTCTGGGTAAGGCATTGTCTGGCGGAGTGTATCCCGTTTCTGCAGTCCTTGCCGATCGGGACATCATGCTTTGCATCAAGCCCGGTGAGCATGGAAGTACGTATGGAGGGTAAGCACGTCATTTCGTCTCTCCTACTTGGATTCATTTTATTTGTGCAGAAACCCGCTAGGATGTGCTGTAGCGATGACGGCTCTCAAAGTGCTCGTCGATGAACGCTTGGCGGAGCGTGCGACAGTGCTAGGGGAGCTCTTCCGAAGTTCAGTTACAAAGCTTAATTCCCCGCTGGTGCAGACTGTACGCGGAAGGGGGCTACTGAACGCGGTCGTCATAGACGAGAGTAGGAGTCGCAGGGGACGTACGGCATGGCAGCTGTGCCTCCTTCTGAAGAGTCGAGGCGTTTTGGCGAAACCGACGCATGTGAATATGTAAGATAAGATTTCGTTCTCTCCATCTGGTGTTCTTATTCGGGGTATTGCAGTATTCGGTTCGCACCTCCGTTGGTGATATCGGAGGAGGATCTGTTGAAGGCTGTTAGGATCATTGGGGAGTGTTTGGAGGATCTTGACGAGGTATAATCATTTCAGTTCATCACAAAGCTTCGTATATTGATAAACTCTTAGGTGAATGTCATTCCGGGCGAAGAGGAGGGTCATTAGGTGGTCGGTGTTGCGTGTACTACTACTTACTGTGTTGTCTACACGGCATCATGCTTGTATCGAATAGAATGCATGCGTGTATGTCTAATGGAGTCCATGCAAGGCTGTACACTACTATCTGATTGACGTTAATTTTTCCAAATACTCTGTTTTCGCAAGTGATGCACCGGTTCGACCTGGATGTTCTTCATTTCCCCCTTATCTTCGTATAATTAAGAATATTCGGCCTCCAAGCAACCATTTCGTTCAGAGGTTCTGGCTGAGGTTGTTATCGAGGCACTATTCTATGGATGTATGATTTCTCTTCAGTAGTCATCGCCAAGAGAACAAAATTTAGAGTAGAATATGTGGCTCTTGAGAAGAGACAATGCATATTCATCTTGAAACGCGACCACCACCATGAGCCATACTCGGGCAAACCCACACCCTTTCGTGACGCTTAATGTGCTTTTTCTTGCCTCTTCTGTGAATCATGAGTTCGATACCAGACCGTTGTCTGATCTTCCAAGAGTGGACATAGAGAATAACATGCGTATTGACGATCTTCGCTTTCGTGTTTCTGAATTGGTCAAAAAGGCGTTTAAATTCGAAGTAGACCCACAGACTTTGAGCTTCTACAAGGTGTGTGTGTATGGTATCAGGTCCTAGGTTGCCAACTCAACGACATGCAGTTCAAAAGCAAGGTCTTTGCCGGAGACATGCTAGGGTCGAGCGAGGAGCCCAAGGATTCAGATATGGTTCAGCTCGCGTCAATAATCCTGCTGCATAGGGCCTTTGATATCAAAAGCATCGGTGAGGACACTATCGACCTCATTATCCGCGGAACAGAACTGGTCGTGGGGGATGTGCAAGACAAAGCGGTGGAGGCGGTAGGATCCTTACCAGTCTTTGGCCCGTACAAACGTGTCTATCATGCACTTTTCCTTGTGCTTTCCCACGTTAATCATTCCTCTCCGTGCAGGTTATGCTGCTTTCACCGACAGTGCCAGAAAGATGCAATCGCCGCATCAGGCCGCCAAATCGAAAGAACGGGTAGTCCTGCAGAGAAGGACCAGTACCGCTGTGTATGATGGTATGTTCGCACCGGATACAGGTGGAGCTCCTGTGGTCGAGACCATCGCGCCTCCCATAGAACTCTTCTATCCTCCCTTCGGAGCCCTGGCGAAAATGTTAGAAGACCCCTTATTCAAACCTGATGCCGACACTCTTATCGCAGTGTCCAAGCTCGTGGCTCGCGCAGGTGTCATTGCAAG